AGTTTAGGCAGTAGTTTCCTAAAGATCACAACAGGATTCTATTCACTACTCGAAAATAATATCAATAACTAATAGAAAGATACAAGGGGACATAAACAACAGTTCTTGTTTGAATATATATGAACGTTTTGACCAGAAGTATTTTACGGTCTTACAGAGTGCAAAGCCCATTGTGTGGCTTTGTGATAAGACAACAAATTATCTCTCTTTTGTGGGCTTAGGTTAACCTAGATGTAAAGTACTTTAATGAGGAACAACGCACTGACAGTTGTCCTTCAGTTGCACCAAAGCTGTTGGCAGAGTTTGCTGGTGTGTTTCTTTCACCAGAAATGACTGATAATCGTCTAAAACCTGGAAGGTACGATTGCATGTTGAATCACAATAGTCGAAAAAGTTCAACTTTATTTGCACAGTATTGTCCAGAGTAGTAATGATGGTAATGATGCAGATGGGTTGTCTTGCTAGATATTGTGTCTTTGTCAATGATATTCCTAGCGAATTGATTCCATATATGATGAAAAATGTTTGGAGGAATATAAAAAGGACCCAAATTAACTTGGACCTAGGTTAGTGTACAGCAATGTGAATAACGACTGTCGCACATCAGCAAATGCAGCGTGGACGTGTAAAAACTGGCACTTTTAAGAGCAATCACAAGTGCCAAATTGGATGCTATATTGCTGCTAAGAATCTCGGAAATGTGATGCCAAATCTCTAATTCAGCTATTGGTCCTGAAGCAGGAGAGCTTTGCATGATGCTAGGCCTGTTAGACGACACCAGGAGTTGTCACGCACTACAGCTAATATCAGAAATGATTTCTTCTCGCCGCATTCACGTTGATGCGTTAAAAGCCAGCATAAATACTGCACCGTATGCGTGCTGCCCAGAGAAAAAGCTGGCCTCGCCAGTAAAAGATTTGACACAAACTTTTAAGTTTATCATTACAGAGAATAACCTTGAATATAGGTGGTCTTCTCTCCCAAATTATCACAGTAAGAGATAAATACATGACAGTCATTACTGGCTGATTGGCCAATTGGTTGAAGCGTATTCATTATTTGACACTTCACACGAGTTTGTTGCTCATACATTAGCTGAACAGTGAATATCATGATTTACAACACCTAGATAACTTGATACAAGTCAAGGAGAAAAGTTTTACGGCCCGTTGTTTGCAGTATTGTGTTATGTGTTAGAGTGAAGACATGTAATTCATCAGATTATCCTCATTCTGAAAAGGGGCACAAGTTGTTAAGTTGTTCTTGCAAAGTTTGTGAACCCTGACCAAGCTGACGAGGATTAATTAACTCCTATCATGTGTCACGTGGGCGTATGTGGCACTGCTTCAAAAATAATAAATAATACAAGTAGCGTATAGAAAACGTTGAGAACAGGTCCAGGAAAATAAGGTGGTTTAACAGAGTTGGCAAAGAACAGAGATGACCTTTCGGAGACGAAGGAAGCACTGTAGCCGATGTAATTACATTACCATTGTGAACATTTTTATTACATTTGTTTCAACTATAAGTACTAATTATAAGCATTTGAAAGTGTGTATTTTATAGAAATTTAACAGATATATATTCGCTTTGTTGAATTTCGCTCAAAGATACTAGAGGACTATCTACGCTAGCCGTCACTAATTTAGAAGAGATAGACTATAGGGAAGGTTGCTAGTCAACGCTACTCACCGCCAACTCTTGGGCTACTCTTTACCAAGAAATAGTGAGATTGACCGTAACATTATAAAAAACCACGATTGAAAGGGCGATCATGTTCGGTGTGGGGATTCGAACCCACAACCCTCAGGTTGCGAGTAAGTGTCCTAACAACCAGGTTTTTTATCTTGTAAAATATATTTACAGTATATATCTTGTAACATATATTTACAGTATATATCTTGTAAAAATATTTACAGTATATGTCTTGTATAAATATTTACAGTATATATCTTTTAAAAATATTTATAGTATATATCTTGTAACATACATTTACAGTATATATCTTTTAAATATATTTACAGTGTGTATCTTGTAAAATATACTTACAATTATATCTTTTAAATATATTGAGAGTATGTATCTTGTCAAAAATATTTACAGTATATATTTTGTATAAAATATTTACAGTATATATCTTGTAAAATATATTTACAGTATATATCTTGTATAAAATAGTTACAGTATATATTTTGTAAAATATATTTACAGTATATATTTTGTAAAATATATTTACAGTATATATCTTGTAAAATATATTTACAGTATATATCTTGTAAAATATATTTACAGTATATATTTTGTATAAAATATTTACAGTATATGTTTTGTAAAAAATATTTACAGTATATGTTTTGTAAAAAATATTTACAGTATATATCTTGCGAAAACTTGAGCTGTGTTATAAAGTCAAAAATTATTTTTACCCTCAGAAGGTTATGTGGTTCAAAGTACTAAAGGGGATGAGCGCCCACAGTGGCAACTGTGTCGGACTGTTGAGCTGCACTTTGTAGCCATTGGTGTTTTATAAGAGTAACGATCAAATCTTACTATTCGGTCTGACAAGAACAGCCCAAGAATTGGCGGTGGGTGGTGTTGGCTAATTGCCTTTCTACAAGTCCAGTGTTTCTCAATCTGTGCCACGCTTACCCTCGGAGGTACACGATGGTCATTGAAGTGGTGCGCGAAAGAAAATGAGAAAATAAAACAAAAAAGAAGTGAGAAAGACAGAAAAGGAAAAACAGCAATATCTTCTTAACCACCGTTTAGATTTAATAATTATTAAGTTAAAATAATAAAAAAACGTTTTTTCTTCAGTATAATGTCCCGGGAGTGGGGGTGGGGAGTACGCAGATTTGTACTAAATATGAAGAGGGGTAGTCCAGATTTAGAAGTCTGGGAACCATTACTCTAGTCTATCTCACTTCAAAACTGGAGGCAGCTGACGCTGATAGACCTTGTTCAGCTTTGCTCGAAATATGACAAACAAACAAACAGAGTACAACGTACTACATATATATTTATCTAATGACTCGGACATTGAACTGTAGCAATAATAACCCAGAAAGAACAAAATACGTACGAGTGTACGTATAAAAAGGTACTTATCATTAAGTACGGTAGTAGTTAATAGTAGGGATCGTGATGAAAGAAAAAAGCGGCCATAAAAATCGCCCGTTTAAAACCACCTTTAAAATGTTGGAATATTAACAATGACTATTTCACAGTATTGCCTGAACAAAACTAAAGCTTATTGTACTTATAAAGCCGCCTAAATCTCCATATACATGTTTGTGGAATGAATCAAAATTTCACTACTTCAACGAAATTTTATATAAGTAAATATGTAAGTGACTTTTCCAGACAAGCCTACAGAAAAAATGACGAACCTTATCACTCTAATTTTTTCACATAAGTCTTCCATCTACGGTCCCAATGATCCCTTTCTTGCTGCTACTTTGGGCATATGATTACATTTGAGGGTAGGTTGGTAAAGATACTGATGAGTAATAAAATCGAATCATGTATAAGCGCGCCCCACGCTTGGTATTGCTGGCGCACAAAAATATAGCTAATAAAAAGGAAACAAACAAGTATAATAATAAGAAGTATTTTTTTTATTGTACTTATTTTGAAAGCAACAAGGAAAAACGCTGTACTTTCTTATTATACTTGAATAGTTTTAAAAGTGGGCATAGTAACTAAGAGAAACTTAGACAAAATAGGGTATTTTATGTATGAAGATTTGGTTAAAACATTCGACATACTACTTGTGAATTTTAAAAGGATGAAACTAATATATATATATATATATAGTACAAAGCTACGAAATAGGCTACTTGTGCGCTGACCACCACCATTATCGAAACCTGATTTTTAGCGTTAGAAACCTTACGTAAAGAAACATTATATATAAATAGCCAACAGCAATTCTTAGAAGGGAATACGTCATTGTTATTTACGTTTAGTTTGTTAACAGATTACTGTCAGATAGCATGTTTCTTTCATATACGCTCTACAGTCCCAAAGGCGCTGCAAATAAGGGTACTGAGGGTACGCCTTAATGTACGGGGATGATGCACATGCGCAGTTCCAATCATATACAAGAGTTTCTTTTCTCTTCCACAAATTGTTTCGGGCGTCAATGTAGAGTCTTATTAATTTTTGGCTACTTTCTATGCCAGTGGCTCTCCGGATATCACTTCGGCGGGGCAACCCCCCGCGGAACACCTACCGGTCATACTTCACCCGCTTTCGCTCACAACTGCAGAAAAACTCAGAACTATTGGGAAGAATGAGAATGGTGCTGGTTTAGACCAGCTCGTGGAATCAGAACGAGGACCACCAGTGGTCCTCGGACCCCACTTTGAGAATCATTATCCTATAGTAAACAATCGTTTCTCATGTTTTTCGAATCTGTAATTCAAGATCACCTATTTATACAAGTTATATATGCACACAATATGTTACTTAAACAAACGGTAACAGTATTGTACTTGGTTTTATCTTAGAGAACCAAACAGCGGTGTTTGTGAAGTAAATATGAAATATAGAAACGAGTCCTTGGTAATTTATTTCGTGACAAAGTGAAATTATTTTTAATATGTACCAACTTGTGACTAAATAAGAGTTATAAACCTCTTGCTTTAGCGAGTGATGGTTTAATAGTAACTATATTTGAAAAGTTAAAACTATATTTGAAAAGAGAAATGAAGTTTCCTTTAAGACGCTCAATAAATGCGTTAGAACTTAAGAACTAATTTCTTTATAAATTATTTTAAAACTTATTTAAAAACATCTATTTATAATTAAAAGGAATACAACGTTAAAATCATTACACAATAAATAGATGGTGTTATAGGACACCGAAACATATGTAGTTTCTTTTTTTTTTTAGGGCAAGTCCCTGTTTTTCATAACTATTTATTATCGTTATCTTTATTTTTAAGGTCATAATTGTTTTACTTAGAGAGTTATATCACATTTTATCGACATCTTACCCTTAAATAGGGAAATATCCATAGCTTATCACACGTATGTTATTCACTCACTGCATCACTTCTATGAAACGAAATAAACCCGAAAGAACATAAACATGTCGTTATGGAAACAATATAGATATTGGTCAAAAAGACTAATGTTGTGTTCAACTGCTTCGAAGACCAGCCAGTTGAGTAGAAAACTAATCAACCAGTAATCCTACCTTTGTGACTACGAAAAGTCTCGTATTCTACAAGTAGAGGGACTGGTGAGAGGTTTACCTGAAACTGAAGTACCTGTGCCAAGCGTAACGTTGTTTCTGGAGCCAGTTACTATCCACACTGTTCGAGGTGACCCTGTATAGCGATTGGATAATATTTGACACGAGGCGTCAAATCAAACCCTGAATTTTTCCGTGTTTTTTCTTTTTTCTTTTTTTCTAGTTGCTTTTTTTGAACGCCACACCAAGGCTTAGGCAAGCCTGGTTACATAACAACTTACCAACCAATGGCGTTTGTCTTAATATAAAGACATTTTATGATAAAAGTTAACTGTTTATCTGCATTCATTGCAAACATTAATTCATATCTATGGTATTGTAAATAATATAATAATCTTTCTTTTTATTGATAACAATCACTTTAATAAAGTGCATAAGTTCTATTTTCAAAGCGTTCTGTGTTTATAAAAGTTGTTGTTTTTAAATTATATTAACGAAGCATTTTCTATAAAGTGACTTCGAATCAAGAAAGGCCTGGGCTTCGCCAAGACACTTTTCACAAGATAACAAAATATAATTACTACTTCTAAGTAAACGAATGAAATATCGAAAGAACGCTGAAAATATAAATAATAATTCCGAAGGTTTCACTCAAAACCTGATCCTATAATTAAAAGTTTTGTTTTTCAGACACTGTTCCAAATCGTATGTTTTTCTAAAAATCCTATAGCCCAGGCACTTTTATCTAGGACAACACTACTAAAAATGAAATATTTTGTTTATATATAGTTATTGACATATCACTGCGAAGAAAATATTTAGTTAATATTTACGTTACTGATATATCACTGTAAAAGAAATATTTTATTTATACTTATGTTACTAGTACATCACTGTAAAGGAAATATTTTATTTAAATTTATGTTACTAGTACATCACTGTAAAAGAAATATTTTATTTATACTTATGTTACTAGTACACCATTGTAAAGGAAATGTTTTATTTATACTTATGTTACTAGTACATCACTGTAAAGGAAATATTTTATTTATACTTACGTTACTAGTACATCACTGTAAAGGAAATATTTTATTTATACTTATGTTACTAGTACATCACTGTAATGGAAATATTTTATTTATACTTATGTTACTAGTACATCACTGTAAAGGAAATATTTTATTTATACGTATGTTACAAGTACATCACTGTAAAGGAAATATTTTATTTATACTTATGTTACTACTACATCATTGTAAAGGAAATATTTTTGTTTGTATAAAAGTTATCGATGTATCATTGTAAAGGAAATATTTTTGTTTGTATAGATATTACTGATATACCACTGTAAAGTAAATATTTTATTTATATTTATGTTATTGATATACCATTGTAAAGAAGATATTTTATTTATATTTATGTTATTGATATACCATTGTAAAGTAAATATTTTATTTATATTTATGTTATTGATATACCATTGTAAAGTAAATATTTTATTTATATTTATGTTATTGATATACCAATGTAAAGTAAATATTTTATTTATATTTATGTTATTGATATACCAATGTAAAGGAAATATTTTATTTATATTTATGTTATTGATATACCAATGTAAAGGAAATATTTTATTTATATTTATGTTATTGATATACCATTGTAAAGGAGATATTTTATTTATATTTATGTTATTGATATACCATTGTAAAGGAGATATTTTATTAATATTTATGTTATTGATATACCACTGTAAAGGAGATATTTTATTTATATCTATGTTATTGATACATCATTATAGAGGAAGTATTTTTGTTTATATTAGTGTTACTTGTAAATCACTGCAAAGGAAATATGCGGAGTGTGATTGTGTTTATGGTGGTAACGGAGGGAGGTGGGGAGGGGACTCATGTAAGTTAGCCGAAATACGGCGAAGTAATTATGCTTTTTGTGGCATCTTGACCCACTATAATTACTAAAAATAGGAAAGTCCACCATTTTTGTTTGTCAGTATGTGGGATCTGTAGAAAAAGTAGCCTTGTAAGAAATCTCCATATAAATTGGTCAAAATATACCCGAGTAATTGACCAAAAAAAAACCCACTAAAAGACTCAAAATGAGAAAACCCAACTTATTTTTATGTCAATGTGTTAAGCACATGAAAATTTATATATGTGCCAATTTTCATATTAATTGCTGTGAATATGACCTCACAGGAGCCCAAACACTTTTGGGTTATTTGACCTTTCACCCCATAAAATCTATAAAAAGGCCTATATAAAAATCTATATAAAGGCCGAGAAATGAAGGAACGGCGGTCGATTGAAAAATATTTCGAAAAGGAAGAAACAACAGAAAAACAACATGTTTCTCTGTGGAGACATAAATATTGGGAGTGTTCTGTAGTAGATAACTTGGCTGTATTTCTTTAAGTGTGAAATAATGAAGCTGAACATATGTAAAAAAAGATAAACAAACTATCTATTGAAACAGACAGAAAACACAGCGTGTGTATACTTGCAAAGACGTAATCACAATCTTTAGCTTCACAATTTTCGTTCCCTCAAGATTAACCTTTTTAAAAGTGAAACACAATGATCTTCACGGGCTCCTAGTACAAATTGGTTCAAGATGCCTGAATTCAAAAGGTAAACTCGGTTTTTTTGTCCAGCATCATCTCTTGACTTTGTTCTTTCTCAGTATCAATCGACTGTTCTTTTTTTTTTTAGACAACGTTAGCTCAGCCAGCAAAGGGCATTAAAGAACTGTTAATCCTTTCAACACGGATGTTATATATTACTGTAATATCTTCTTTGGCAGCATAAACATTATCTACTACAAAGAGAAAAAACTATAACAAAGCAATACTAACGCTTTTTAAGCCACATTTTGCCACTATTAAAGCATGGAAACTAAATAACCAAATATTTTTTTGGAAATTCTATGCCATTAAATCACGTAGAAAATATATAATATGCCTGCATATCACAATTATAAAGAGGCAAGATCATACACCTTTTATCAAACCTTAAACTATAGGCTTGCGCTTTAAAAAAACTTCTATAACGTATTATAGATTGTCACTCACACTATTAACTATCTATAACCAAATGTAAGCCAGACTAGTTTTAACCTTTTACATTTTTACCACGTCACCTTGATTATATGGTATAGCTAATATTGTAGCTTTCGGTACAAAAAAAAAGCTTTACTATTATATAATAAACTAGAAAATAAACATAACGAAATCTGTTACGACAGAAAATATGCAGAAATACAAAATGTGTTACATCAAAAATAAAGTGGAACATCTCTGCTTTATAAAATTATAGAGCACTTAACAATCTGTTGACCAAGGGATCTAAACCTCTTGCAGAATATGCTCGCCCTTTCAACCGTAGGGACGTCAAATGTGATGGTCAATTCCACTATTCATTGTTAAAGAGTAACTCAAAAGTTAATAAACAGCTTATCACCCCGTACCTTACCCGCAAATAGCTTTGCATCAAATTTAACAAATAACAACAAGACATAAATGGGACTAACGTGGCAACGTGAAATTATAGACTGCATAGTACTTTGAAGACTATGTTTTATTTTAATGCTTTTATTCACAAAGGAGTTTTGTCTGTTTACATAAGTAATAACTGGCAAAGTATAGAAATTTAGTGGATTTGAGATAGTAGTGGAATCTGGAAGCTTCTTTTAGTAAGTAGATACGTAGAAAACAAGTACGATATAAAAATATGAGACAAAGCAGTTATATTTACCAGTTCAGTGTCAGTTAGTGAGTTAGAGCGTGAGAATTAGTTCATCTGTGATTCATTTAGTAAGCCAGCTAGCGATTCAGTCAACCTATTTGATATAGATCGATTAGTTACGTAATATCTGTTGAAACATTGTTTGTGAAGTTAGGCCTACCAGTGAATGCAACCTGTAGTAAACGTTTATTAATTTAAAGAAATAAATTAAATATTTATTATTATGTGGACTGGACTTGACGTTATTTGTAGCAAATAATACACAAGAACCCACCCAACGATAGAACATGCTATAACATTATATTAATTAAATTAAACTCTAGTATGTAAAAAACTTTATTTTAAGTCACTCTCAATACTTATCTCCAATTAGCGTATAGCCCCTCAAAAATGATAGGGCAAGTACTACTACCCCCACCTCATAGTTTACCTTAACCTCACATTTCATAGCTAACTGAAATAAATAAATTTTGTGAAATCAAGTTTGACCAAGAACGAGGCAGAAAAGTGCAGTCAAACGTCGGTAAATTCCTTTGTGGGCCAATCAAAATTAAGGTCATTCATGAAATGAATTCTTCGCATATTCATAGAATAATTATTGATAAAAATCAGTTAGATTAACAACTTGTAATTGAATTGCAGACAGAGATAGATAGGGACAGTTGGGTTGAGCGCGTGAGTCGTTTGTTGTGAATTATAGCGTTTGTTATAGCGTGACTGTGGAAATTAAGTGTATTGCAAAGTATGTATTCAGAAAGAATAAACTAGTTTTATTTAAGAAAGGTTTGTTTGTTTGTTTGTAATTATGCAAAAAGCTACACCACGAGTATCGAAACCCGGTTTCTAGCGTTGTAAGTCCGCAGACATACCATTGTGCCACTGGGGGGCATTTAAGAAAGGACTTGTATCGCTAAAGTTTCCTCGGAAAGAATTTTTACGGAAAATTAATAAACTAACGACCAGAGACGTAACAAGTTGGTGTCAGAGAGTGGGACAAAAAAAAATGGAAACGAGAAGCGGCAAATCAAACTACAGCTTAGCAGATTTGATGGCAGCAATACAAGAGCAGCAAAAGAAACAAGAAGAACGAGAAAAGAAACAAGAAGAGAGACAACAGCAGTTGCAAGAAAACCTGCAACAGTGGCAGCTCGAACAGCAAAATAAACAAGAAGAGAAATTACAGCAGTTGTTGGAGGAAAAGAAACAAGAAGGACGAGAAAAGAAACAAGAAGAGAGATTACAGCAGTTGTTGGAGGAAAAAGAAAATAAACAAGAAGAGAAATTAC